CCCCAAGGGTGCGGAGTGGGAGGGGGCAGGGGCGACTCTGGGAGCCGGGCGGCTCAGCCACCCACTGCTGATCCGGCGAAAAGTTGCCCTCCGACGGTCTCCAGCCTCCTACTTCCTCCCCCGGCCCCGCGGCTGAGTTGGAGTCCGGCGGGGAGGAGCCGGGCAGGGACCTGCGAGGTCGCGGCGCGGAGCCGGCTGCCTTCCTCGCGGTCCTCAGCGCCGGCGGCTCCGGCTCCGGGTCCGCGTCCTCAGGACCACGCACAAACTTTCGGGATTGTCCCGGGACACTTTTCCGGCGAGTCCGCACCACGCGGGGAGGAGGAGCCACGGCCAGGGGGACAGGTACGTGGCGCGCCGCAGTGAGAGTTGCACTTGCGGGATTCTTTTATTTCAGGGGGTTCAGGGTGGGGGAGAGTAGCAGTGCGCCTTCCCTGCATCCGGCCCCCAACCCCCGCTGGGCCGGAGGAACAGGTATTGGGGTTGGGGCACCCAGTGGGAGTATCGCTGACGAGGTCGTGGCGTGGGCCAAGGCGCAGCCGGTGGGAGGCGGCTCCCAGAGCTGTGGGACTGGGTGTTACTCGGCGGTAACCTCCGGGGAGAGGGAGCCGGCTTGTTTTGACGGAGAAAGATGTCATCAGGGCTCTGCCCCTTTCCTTGGGGCCAGAGAGGTTGGCCCGACGGGAAGAACCCGCAAAGGCGAAGTAATTTGGGGCTCAGTTTCCCTCTCCAAACCTCCTCGCTTACACAAGAGACCGGCGGCGCCACTTTGAGGTTTGCAGCACTTGACTGGCATAAGGACTTACTTGTTTGGTGGCTGTTGCGCAATTTCTTGAGTTCTCAAGTGAACCTGCGTTCAAGTCGTGGCTGTTGTTATCGACTGAGGCTGTGTGTTTCCCGCGTCGACCTCAACAAAGCTTCCTTGTTAACCCCACTTCTGCTAGGAAGTGGAACCAGCTGCTGTCCTAGTTCCAGGCCGGCCAGAGCAAGGTGTTGGTGGCAGCAATAGTTTGCTAGGGGCTTTGGGAGTCACCTGAGCAGGTCTGATAAATTAGCCCAGCTGTGTCCCACCCACCTGGATCCGTGCATTCTTAACAGATCCCACCTGCACCATTCAGCAGGTGCTGTAGCCTCAGCCATCCAGGGAAGGGGCCCAAACAGGAGAGACGGCCCTGAGGAGCAGTAGTAAACAATGCATACCAATTGTTGCTTCCTTATAAATTGGAACTAATCTCTGACTTCTCTGAAAGGGTCTGCTATCAAATTCATCTCATTAGGAAGTTCAGCTGCTCTCTAATAGGGATAGCAGCCCTGATGAAATTATGTAGGTCACTGAAAAATAATTCCTGCTTAATCACCTTTATCCTTTTAGTTAATGAGGGAAAAGATTTCCTCTCCTTAGTGTATCTTGCCTGCTGCTTGGCAGGGTGACCTGCCTGACCCTCAAGTTCGTTGTGCACCCGGCACTAGGCAGGATGTTGTCCCTGAAGCTGCCCAAACCTACTGTACTACAGCTGAAGTCCACATTTGGAGAACTTCAGTGGTCTTTGGACAGAATTGAGCAGGAGATTCAGTCTATAAACTTACTCTTTAATCAGCATATTGTTGGCTTTAGATATCTTTTCAGATAATTAAAGGCTGGTTTCTTTGAGCTCCAGTTAATCCCTTTCCACAGAGAGCCCAAGAATTGTGTCCATGCTTGTCTTGAAATTAAGTTTGGGGTCCCATTTGTCGTCATTTGTCCTGTAGCTTTTGGAACAGGATTGAAATGTGTGGGGCAGGTGGAAAAGGTAAGAGAAACCAAGCATCAGTGAACTAGATTCAGAAGAAATTTAGAAGAGCCCAATAATTTAGGCCCAGCAGCCTCACTAGCTTCCTTCTTGCCTCTACATAGAGACCCTATAGGTTGTATGGCTTTTCATGTAGGCCTTTGAAGACTAGAAGTGAAAGGACTGTTTTACTGCAGAGTCAGAGTAATGCATTGCTGGATAGTTTTTCATGATAACCTCCCAAGTTTGGTTCAAAACACTTTCTCTACAGTTCTTTCTACCATAGTAGAAAGTCAGTAGATAATGTCTACAAGCCAAGAAGCAACTGTATAAATAAATTATTTAGAGATGTAGAAGTACTTATCAGAAGAGACAAAAAAAGAGTTGCCTAAGGAGTGACTTTTGAAATTATGTTCTTATATTACTTTCAAAAAGAAGATTTGATAAGAAAGCTCCCTCTCTCTGCAGATATAAAACAAAATCACTCTCTTGGGTGGGTCCCTGCTTAGATGCTTGATCTGTATTCTGTGTACATTTGTCTCATAGGGCAATACATAGGCCCTTTAAAGCACTGGATCCTCAGATGCTGACCTTGGAACATAATTTACATCTACTTCACGCTTATTCTCAGCTACTTCTCTTAGTTTTTAGCCTAGGTAGGGGAACAGTCTCAAGAGGGATCTCTTAGTAAAGATAATAACAGAATATAACATTTCTGTAGTGCTTTATGATTAATAAAGTGCTTTGACATGTGCAATATTTGTTTTGTGATTTAACCATTTTGTAGTGGGTGCTATTATATTCAGACTACAAAAGAGGAAAACAGTTGAGATTCAGAGACGATAAGGAATGTTTAGATGTGTCCTTGGCTCCTGTATGTGGTAGACTCAAACCTGAATTCAGGATTTCTGATTTAGATAAGGCCATGTTTTAAATTGTTTCCCTGCTATATTTTGTGAAGTGTTTGGATGTGAAATGGGATATTTTTTCTTATTAAACAAACTGTCTGTAATTGGAGACAGGACTGTACACATCTGTATGTGTATGTAATATTTTATCTTTTGCATGTCAACAGTGTGGCCGTACCTAGAGAGGTGGGTGGGTGGGTTGGGTGAGTAAATGTCCCCAATAGATTGAATAAAGAACTTTTGATAATGTCTAAAATTGAAACAAAATCAGGAAATAGTAATGTGTGTGAGTTATAAATACGGAAGTAATTACTAGAAGAAACATCTTGAAGAGTTGAAGGAGCTCCTTTTGGGAAACGGAACTCAGAATGAAGGGAAGCCAGGCAAGAGTCTGCTGTTTTGGGATAGTATCTTATAACTTTATATTTTATGTTATGTACATGCATGTTCTTTTTAAAAAACTCTTTGGTGAGGACAGAGTAAAGGCCTATTTTCAGAATTTTAGAGCTGAAAGGGATCAGAGATTGTTTATTCCCAGTTCTTTCATTTGCATGTGAAGAAATTGATGCATAGGGGTATAAATGTTTTGTCAAGGTCACATGGCGGTAGAAACAAATCATTCCAGGACAAGTTCACAGCCCTCCCCAGGCAGGTGGAAAATTTCCCAAGGCTTGTAATTCCTCAATTACCTTTCTAGGTAATTCTCTCTTCTACTTCTATCTAGTTTTTACAATGTTTGAATAGGTTACAGGACTGTAGATTCAAAAGTAGTTTCTCTAATTCCCCATATTTCCATCATGAAAGTGCTTCAAATATCTTTAGAGTCTGCTGACTCTGTAATTTTTTGGTTAAATTTGTAATAACTTTTAATTAGAATTAGAGACACCTAGGCAGTTTGTGTGCAACTTTTTAGGAATTGACAGCATTGCTCAGTTGAATTTGATAAACACTGGAATTCGGGGTAAACTTTTATCCTGAGAAGCTATGACTAACAGAAGATGCTTTCGCAATATCTGGGTTAGTTGCTTAATTATGAAGTTCTGAGAATAAGAATATAGCTGTCTTCCAAAAGAGGGGTACAGACATGACATTTTAGAGCTACTGTATTAAAGTTTTAACACCCTAAGTTTTCCTTTTCTTTATACAAAATATTTTCTCCTACTTCCACTCCATTTATATCACTAACTTAAAACTTTATTTTTTCTGATTATACATACAATATATATTATTCAACATTCAAACTTAGAGAATATGTAATCTTGAAAATTAAAGTTTACTGTAATCCTATATTCTGGAGAAACTGCCAAAATCTCTCTCTATTAAAATATATTTACTATTATTGTGATTATTTATAACAACTGGGGTAACACTAAACGACTTTCAACTTGGTTTCTGTTTTTAACTTGATATACCTTGAAAATGTTTCCATGACCATATATATGGAGCATCCTGGCTGTATAACATTGCATCACAGGTCATTTAAACAATTGCCTATTGTTGGAAATTTGTGTGGCTTCCCATTTTTCCGTACTAAGAACAGTGCTTTAGAGAATATCCTTAAAGTACACTTGTGTGAGTGTTTTTCGTAGGAAAGTTTTGTGAGTCAGGGATATGAAAATATTAAATTTTCTAATTCTACTTCCTCTAATATTAAAATTATATTAATACCTTTTTTTGAATGTATAAGACTGAAGAGAGACATTATTAACACATGACCAGACACTGAAACAAGAGGTCATAGGAGGAAAAGGTTCTGAGCTCTTAGGTAGGGCTCACCTCATTTCCTCACATTTTAAGTCCTTTCTGATTTAAATTTTTTCCCCCAAGAGAAGATAGTAATTGATAACAGCTATAAAAGTACTCTGCAGTTGTTGGATGAGCTGCTAATTAGCTTTTATGGAGCATAGTTTTTTTTTGTTTTTCTTTTAAAAACATTTTCTTAACATTATTCTAGGACATGCCATTAAGGAGTTCAGAGAATCCACTAAGCTTTGCAGAACGCAGAATGAGCGTATTTTATCTCCTCTCCTGGTATTTTAAAAGTTTACCTCTATTGAAATATTGGTAATGGGTAAATTTTAAGATCTTTAGGTTTGTAGAAGGTGCCAGGAACTGATTTCACTCTTGAGTGTGTGGAAAATGTGAAATAAGATACTTTGGCTAAATTTCATAACTCAGGCTCATTGAAACAGGAACATTTCAGGGATTCCTGTGGCAACGTTTTTATTGAGAGAGTTGATTAATATTTTTACCGAGTCCAAGCTTTGCTCATAACCAGTCGGTTAAAGGATTATGTTTCATTCTTCAAAATTAGTCTTCAGTTTTGTTGGTGTTCATGGAACTTGTACTTGAAGTTTATTCATTTTAGGTTGATTTTTCCTTGTAGTGTATCAGAATGAGTATAGCTATATTTTAAAACTATGACCTAGCCTGGCCGGGCGTGGCTCAGCGGTTGAGAATCGACCTAGGATCCAGGAGATCGAGGTTCGATTCCCAGTCAGGGCACATGCTTGGGTTGCTGGCTAGGCAGCCAATCAATGACTCTGTCATCATTGATGTTTCTATCTCTCTCCCCCTCCTTTCCTCTCTCTGAAATCAATAAAGATATGTTAAAAAAAAAAAAATGACCTATTTCAGTAGGTCATTTAATGTGAACAGTATGTGCATC